GGGAGGGGAGGGGGATCGCGCCTGCGCGCTGGCGGCGGCAGCGATCCCGCCGGGCCCGCCCCCACCTGCCGGGTCCGGGGCTTGCAGGGGAAGGCTCCCGTCCCGGTCCCGGTCCCGGTCCCGGTCCCGGTCGCCCGGCGGCCTCAGGGCACCGCTGGGCCCGTCCCCGGCCTCCCTTGCTACGGCCGGGGCGATAAGCGGCTGGTTGGCGGGGACGCGCTGCCGTGCGTGAGGCGATGCTCCCTGTGAGGGGACGGCGGGCTCTCGTCGAGGCCTCAGCGCCTCGCTGAGGCTGGGGGGGGGTCCTGAGAGAGGGATAACGGGCATAAATAGCTTCGCGACCACTGACTGTCTCCTCGGGCACGGATTCACCGTGAGACAACCGCTATTTCACGGTGAAGTTAGGGTCACGCTAAAGGCAGGCGGTATCTCTGCATCCCTTGGCTGGTTTCTGGGGCCAGCTCCCTCAAACCAGCCGGCGCGGTCGGTCACCCTGGGTCCGGGGGCAGATCCAGCCTGAGGGGTCGCGAGCAGGCACGCCAAAGGAGAACCGATGACCGGGGAAGTCACCGGAGGCGTCGGCAGCTCGGAGGAAGGTCAAGATGTAGATGTCGGCCGTATAGCCTTGTGGAGACGTGGAGACAGATGTGCTGCAAAGGGAGCACCGCACGCACCAAACCCAGCACCACCAGGGAACGAGAATAATGCAGTATTTGCTGCATAGATAGAGGGGAAGGGTTGAGAATACAAAGCAGAGAGCACGTGTGCGGTGATGAAGATAAAATGTAATAGTAAACAGCTGTCTCAGTTCTTTGACCTTGGGCTAATTTCTGGCCCAGATAAGGGCAGGCTTCTCTGTTAAAATAGCACGCAACCACATCATCAAAGACCACGAACACAAAACGAGGGGTTACCAGGCCATCTGAGTTGCACTGAAGTTCAAGAGAGAACTCTGCAAGATACTTTAAATGTGTTTGATTTTGAAGTGTTTGGAATGTAATTGGTTTAATGTTTCTGAAAGCAACACTAGAAACGCTGTTGAAATAAAGCGTTTGTGTGTTGGAAGGGGGGGGGTAAGTGAAAAATGTATGTGTGTTTAGATTATCCATAAGATTTCCTTTTCTAAAACATTTAAAGTAATAGTGGCAGATGAAGAAACGCTACTTGTTGGAACTATAACGATTTTCAGAACCAAAACTCTCTATTTCCCAACTTTGAGATTTTTCCTTTAAAAGGCTTTTCAAATGCGTACGTGCCACCAGTGCCTTTGAACTCCACTTTTATTTCTGGCCTAGGCTTTGCCAATGATTATTTGCTTCGCTTTGGGCAAGTCGTATCATTTTGCTTTTATTCCTTTCTGATAAACTGAGTGGTGGTGAGATAAGTTACAAGTTAAATTAACATCTGCACAGCGCTTTAAACATTTAAAACGTTGAGTATGTCAGTCTATGGTACAACTAGACCTCCACCATAAAAGGCAGCATGTAGCTTTAGTCTAAGTAGCCAGTCTAAAGCATCTCAATCTTTATTTTGATACGTGGGAAGACAAGCATACAAAATACGTCCACAAAGGTTTCTTTTACTTTAAAGCTCCAGAGTTTCTAGAGTCAGGATCCAGAGCTGTGATCTTGTAGGAAGAGTTAAAAAACCGCCAACTCTTCCCTGAACTAACGTGAACCCTTGTGTGCATACAATGTGAATGCATAAGCCTATGTACGAGGGTAATTGTCCTCTGGGTGAGGCAGCTGCACCTCATACAAATACACTAAATTCACAGCATAAAGGCAGCAGCGAAGGAAGTCTTTGAAACTTGTGAGCAAGTACAAAGCGTTTACTCCATGAGTTCCTCTCCAGGGAAATGTTATGTGCAGCAGTGCGAGTACGAAAAGACTGGAGGGTGTTTCAATTTAGACCAGCAAATTTACATTGAAGCAAGAATGAATATAAGATCAGTGGAAGGGAATATGCATTAAAAAGTATTCAGAACAGTAGCATATTTTTTAGTTCCCTCTAACAAAAATATAACATGTGAGTTGTGCATAATTTTGTATATATCTGCATAAATAATGCAATCAGCAGTACTGAAACCCCAGAGTGGTCTGATGATTATAAGTATTTATGGGGGCATGTCTGCCAGGTTCCTTATCTATATATACATAGACATCAAAAAATTAAACATATTTCCCTGCCCTATGTCATTTTTTCCTAACAGTATATTCTGACAACAAGCATTAGGCCAAACCAGCTGTTAGTACTGTGCCATTTACTATTTAATAAAAAGCTATTTAGAAGAAATTACTGAAGTCAATTCACTTTCTTTTCTTGCTGTTGTTTTTGTGGGTTTTTTAATGACATTATAACGATGCATGATCCAAAATGAGATTTAAAAAAAAATTCCTTTTGTTTTTTTTCCCATTTCCCAATCTGAAAAAAAAAAAAAGAATCTTATTATAGGAGCTAAGGAAAGAAAATAATTGTTTACAAGATCAGTATCGCAGGACTTGGAGAATTTCCATCAGGAGACATACTAGGGAACTGATGAATAGCTTGGAAACACTTCAGTTCAGAGGGTTTTTTTCTTGTTACAACAATCATCTCTTAAATTTAGTTCACTCTTGAGCTGAAACAAAACCATAATTTGTAGCTGCTGTTTAAGCACTCCATACGTTCTCCAAATTCTTCCTGAGTAGACCAAAGCAGCCAGAATGGCAGCCAAGGATCTGGCCCACGAGGTCAACTTCTAAAAGCTGGTTAGAGCTTCAGGTTTCTCTAAGACCACAGAAACAATTAATCTGTGGTTGATCTAGTGGATGCAGAAAGTCAGATCTCAATAATGAACCAAAAAAAGGCTTAAAAAACATCCTACAGCGTGTTTCTCTTCTCCAAAAGTTTTTTTAAGAGAGTGGTAAGCAGTTCAAGTCTATAAGAAACTGAAGAGCTGTTCCTCTAAAGTTCCTGCAGTTTAACAAAATGTTACAGCTCAGTGGAATGAATTATATATTCAACTGTAGAATCTGAAACAACATTTATTGTGGCAAAGGAAATTGTGTTTATTTTAAGAGTTTGCTATTCAGCAAGGTCTTTGCTTCATATGGCTTTATTTTTAGACAGCCAAAGTGAGGTTTTCATTTTATTTCTGATCTTGCAAATACAGATTTTCAATTTGCTTATGTTTTGAAGGAGTCAGAGGGCTTTCAAAAGGTCATTCGTGTAGACTTCTCATTATGAGGACTGCTAGGAATACTGTGTATTTAGTTCGTGAACAAATCCAACAGCCATTTACAGCAGAGGTCTAGACAGAAAATGATTACGTGAGTAATCTTGGGTTCAGAAAAATACTCGCTTTATGATCAGATGGTCTTAAGCAGAAATCCTTGGTCCTTCCCAAGGTCGCACGTATTGTGGCAAAGCCCTTATTGCCTTGGGGCAACTGATTGAAAACATTGAAGCAGTTACAGGTGCATTATTGCAGTAAAGCTGAAAACCTGTATTTTGATCAATAAAATATCCCTATCTTGTTGATTTAAAACGTGATGCAAATGCCTCCTTAATAGCACATTGAAAGGATTGTCATTTTTCCACAGACACTCAGTCGCTGTAGCCTACCATTTCCAGGTGATGACGGTGGCCTAAGATGTGCCCTCATGTCTTCTGCTGCAGCAGCTCCCTCCCAGACACCTTCTGATCGGCGCTGACTCCGGAAACTGGTGCCAGTCCCAGATGTCCCGGGTCTCCAGCGAGTTGTAAAGAGCTGCGGTGCAGCTGCTGAGCAACCTGCCCCAGGGCTTGTTTTCTTTCCATGGAGAAGCTCTCCTGCTCAGTTCCTTGCTGCAGTTGTTCCACCATGTGTGCATAAGCACTCAGAGAAGTAGATCCTTGAAGGTTCCCCAAAGAAAATTAATTATTTATCCATTATTTACACTCCTGGCAAGCACCTTACTACCTGACTATGGCAGTGTGTGTGCTTGCTCTTATTCTCCTGCTGGAGCACTCTTACGTAGGATTAATTTACTCTTCAGTGAACCAGAAAGATGTTGGCAGAATAACTCATTTGATAGCTCAGTGATTCTGTCACGCTCTTGGTATGCAGGAGACCAGAACTTTTCTCTGGCCTAAAAAAGCATTACTCCTGACAGACTAGGAGGCATTGCTGGCCATTTAACTCCTACCTCTAGAAGCACTACAGGGAGGACTAGGTGAAAAATTAATGCGGGGTTTTATTTTTAATCTTTGTGTGCGTGTGTGTGTGGCAAGGACAAAAATACAGGCTTAGCAAAACTGAGCTGTTTTAATTTGTTTGCATTGGAAAGGAAACAGAAATGCTGTAATAAGATATAAGTTTCATCTCAGAGTTTTAAATAATACATTTTTCTTCTTTTTTTATTGGAAGGTATTTTTAATTAAGAATGTTCCTTTAAAATAATGCTTTTGAAGAGA